GTTGATGTGGCATCTCTACTATCTAAAAGAAATGTAGTGTTCCGTTTCCCCTCTTACGTTCCCCGTTCCGTCCAACCTCTCCTACGACCCCCTCTCCCCGTAGCGATTTTCTCCCCCTCTCCAGCGATTTTCTTTTTCTCCCTCCACCGGTTTTCCCCCTCCCGGTTTTATCCTCATCTGACCACACAAACCGGACACAATCATCACATAAGGTAACCAGATGCACGCAATCAATTCACATAAGGTAACCAGACGCACGTTACCAATCAATTCACGTATACCAATCAATCTCTTATTTGGTAACGCGTAATTTGGTAACACATAATAACAGAATAAATTACGGTCAATCTCATATTTCCTTCGGGTCTAAAGTTGCCCTTACCAAATCTCTCCCGATTTTTTTCTTTCTCTAACCAGTCCCTCTTCCTCTCCTCCCTCGATCTCAACAGCCACACTCCAGACGCAGGAGTCCACCGACCAAATCCTATCCTCCCCGATCTCGTTTCTCTCTTGTGTGGCATCATGGTAGATCAAGTTGTGGCCAAGGCATGAGGGAAATATCAGCAGCGGGTCTAGGTGACGTCAGAATGGAGCGATGTCTTCGTTTCCAGGTTGACAATCTCATATTTTATGTCTCTGCCTCTCCTTCTTTGGTCACTAAGCTTTGATGATTTTTGAGATGCTCTCGCTACCTTCAATAGTTACCTCATCACCAGCGTGTTCTCCTTGGGGTCGTGGACCATTAACGCCCAGCGTCAGTGTGTTCGGCGTTTCAGTCGTAATGGACCATTAACACGCAACATGTTCGGCGTTGGAGTTATCGTGGAGAGCCCATCCCGTAGTTCAGATCATAAAAACTTTTGAATTTTAGTTGTTCGTAGTATTTGGGTTGAGTGGGCTAGCTGCAGTGCGACCTGCCGTCAATGATAAAGTTACAACTTACAAATGACCCATCATGACCGCCCGTAGTTTTGTCCAAGCTTTGTTACTACATGGTTTACTTTTTGTCAGACTTCAAAACTACAATCAGAGAAAAGAACCATAGTTTCTCTCCAGCAGGTAAACTTACAAACTAGCGGCGTTTTGAGAACTGGGCATCTGGTGGTTCGGTGATTGAATTGTCATGTCTTTTTTATTAAGCTTTGGATGTTTCAAGGCTAAGCTTTTACCCAAAGTTATTTGTATGTCTATGTCCAGATTTCAAGGATATGCTTCACCGTTCAGTTGTGAGTTCTGACCACGCATGGGCAACCGGCCGCGGCCGAATCGATCTTAGTTTAGAGTGTTTGCATGTGATGATCAACAAGTACAAAACTTATTTGGATTAAGAATATAAGTAAATTAATGATATATTCCAGACATTTGTACAAGAAATTCTGCACCTCCTGGGGCCGACTACAGATAAGTGTGGACACTAGGATTGATACTTTCCTCAAGGAATATCCCACACTTTTTTTAGACTATGTGCACCATGTTTCAAAGGGATCATTGATGTAGAATCACCCGAAATATTCTGATTTGGTTGCAGAAGATGTTATCATCGGAGAAAACATGATTAACGCTGAATCACCGGAATATGGATGTCCCGTTGCAACGCACGGGCAATTACCTAGTTAAACAAACAAAGCCAACTCTGGGAGGGCGACTACAAAAATGAATATATGGAATGTTAGTTATGAAATCTGGCTATGCGAATTTCCTGATGTCGCAATGGACTACATAGCTCCTGATTTAACAAGCATGTCAACGTAATGGAATGCCAAATGTTTCTTTCAAATAAAAAAACACATGCGTCCTTCCCAACAAAATACAGTGTACCTGTGTGCGTATACAAGCAAAATAGATGTAAGGCCAATTGTGCTACAAATTGTGGTAGAGTATTCTTCAGCAACAGCCCAGAAATCCACAAAAGAACAAACTGAAAAAAAAACCAAATAGGTCAAGTGGTCGAAGCGCAAACATACAAGGAAGCATTCCAATAATAGATGAAACATCACCGCATTCATACTCTATTCTAAGCCCTCCCTGGCAGCGACATACATCAGTTCCGCAGGCCACCAGGTGAACCTAAAACCCGTTTCTTGCCGGTCATCAAGAGGAGCATTAAGCAAAACGGATGGAAGTGTGTTGATACCTAGTCCTAAATAAGAAATGTTATCTAATTTGACGCCATCCTATTTGTTGCCCGGAACAAGTCAAGACATTGAAGGGGAGCCTTGGCGCAGTGGTAAAGTTGTTGCCTTCTGACCATGAGGTCATGGATTCGAGTCTTGAAAACAACCTCTTGCTGAAATGTAGGGAAAGGCTGCGAACAATAGACCCAAAGTGGTCAGACCCTTCCTCGAACCATGCGCATTTGGGAGCTACATGCACTGGGCTGCCCCTTTTAACAAGTCAAGGCATTGCTGAATCAACCAAAACAGAAGACTATAGAGGAAACCGGAAACCCTTATAACATTTGTCAATTGTCGATGTCACTGTCCCCACAGTTGAAAGAAGATTTTTTAGGTGCCTTGTAACTTTTGTTGCAAGGTCAGTGGAGAATCCGGGTCATTCATATTCTAGCTCAGAAGCTACAGAAGAAGCATTCGTTCAGAGTCTCAGACAATCAGCCTCAGAAAGAAAAAGGAAGCTTCAGAGGAGGAAACCTAAACTACTAGTGCATGCTATTTTTCTCAAAAGAACTAGTGTATGCTTGAGATATTAACTGAAACTGATGATTTTCGCTGGCAAACGTTGCAACGTCTAATTTTCTTTACTTAGCTGAACATCCAGCTTACTAGGACCCGAAGAATCCCCAAGAACCAGGGAACCCGGGACCTCACTGGATGCACTTGTACCTGTCGTTCTGTGGACCACTCTCAGCTACTGGTCAGTCTGGTCTATATGCTCCAAGATGCAGATACTATTTTGAGCTCCCTGCCTACTATTGCCTTGCATTATAGTACAAATTTGAGTTCTTGATTCTCTCGCCGGTGATCTTTCTACACAATTTAATTTTATGGTGAAGTATGATCTAAGAGTGTAATCGACACCTTTATCCTACGAACAACAACAGATAAATTGTAGACCCAGGGAGCATTACAAAAATATAAGAACATTCTAGGTCCGGCTGCCGCATACGGTTGTTTCACAGACAACCAGCAAACAAATGTAAACATGTTTCTTGCCTAGAACAGGGCGTTGCAAAATTACAAGGCTTATGGAGAACAATGAGGCACATCATATAATCATAGTTTCAGTTGCAAGGCTCAATATATAGAAGTAGGAAAAAGGTTGGGCCAACATTCTCTACTGCAGAAATTAAGAACCACATTGCATACAAGATAGCATCAAGCTAAATAGTGATTGGGTACATATTATGTCCTAATTAAGATAGCTAACAATAATCCCATCACAGAAGATAACACCAAAAACAAGTCAAGGCCTCCTCTGGCGGCACCGAGGGGTGAGGGAAGGGAGAGCAGGCGGCTAGGATTTCGTCGTCTCCCGCGTGTCGCCCCGAGCGGAGTGACGCGGAGGCAGAGCCTTCCATTTAAAAAAAATGATCATGTAGGAGACATATGGTGATGATGTTGCCTGCATGTAGGCACCAATGTTAGCCAAAACTACTCTGATGGCCTAAAAGTACAAGGCATTGAGATTTAAACTAGGATGGTAGGCATGAAAACATTACATCAGAATACAAGAAGAATTAATGCAACATATTTAACTTTGAGTTCTTTTTGCCATGCTATCAGCTAAAACCCAGATATCAAATGTGGGCCCAGCCACCATGAACAAATCTTCGTTGTGGGTCCCTCTGAAACAGAAAATTAGGAAGTATAAGTTTTGTTGAATTTTCATTCATTTGAAATGTTTATGTACATGCCTTTTACAGTTGTCTTAAAAAGATGCATTTTTATTAAAAGATCATGGCACCCAGATTTGTATGAACTATTTTCCCAAGTTTAGTTTCCCTTTTATGTAGTACTACTACAAGTACGACATGCACCAGAATCAAGAAAAATGGACTACTTTCATAGGATTCAAAATCCTTAGGATTTTATGAGTCTGTAGTAATACTAGCTCCATTTCAAAACGTCATATATTTTAGAAGGGAGGTAGTAGGAAGGGTGCTGCAATTTTTTTGCAATTGATTATCTATGTTCACGATGTCATATGAATTTCAGTAACCACTGTAAACTTTTATTGTAGCCATCAGCACAAAATCGAGACATGTTCCTATCCAAATGGCCATATCTACAATTTTTGGGCATTTTTCAAACAATCTATTATGCGTTTACATGCCTGGATGTTTATTTATTTTTGTAGTAGAAGACTGGAATCTGATAGTACAAACACATGATGAAATTTGAGTTTTAATTTTTTGAGGCAATCAAATGTGGGTAATTCTTAAATGCGGGTAATGTCGTCACTATGTGCTTGTTGGCTAAGCCCAGCGCGTGTGAGAGGAGAGGAGAGGAGAGGAGAGGAGAGCGAGTATTCTATTCCATAGCCCAGACCAGAGACAGAGAGGGTTCTATACGCTCGTCCCCACTCCTCCTATTCCATAGCCCCCTCTCCCAGCCGGCGACCATGCCGGAGGAGGCTGCGGCAGACCTCTCCTAAGCGTAGGCAATCTCCCAGATAAGATCGTCGTGTGGGAGATTCTCGTCCGCCTCGACCCCAAATCCCTCCTCCGCTCCCGCGCCGTCCGCCGTGCCTGGCGCTGCGCCACCTACACCCGCCGCTTCCTCCTCGCCCACCACGCCCGCCAGCCAACCCTCCCTTTCGTCTGCAGAGACAGATCCCATAGCAACCTCGCCTTCGACAACCGGGCCGCTGCCGATGCCCAGCTCCACACCGTCGTCCGGCTTGCCGAGCCCTTCCTTCTCGAGGCCTCCTGCGACGGCCTCCTCGTCCTTTCCAGGTGCACCCTCCGCTTCTCCGTCTACAACCCGGCCACGCGTGAGCATGCCTCCCTCAGGTGTCCAGCCTGGGACTTCAACATCGTGGGGATGTATCCACATCCACCTACCGGCGAGTACAAGCTGCTACTGCAATGTTGCGACCTGGACATGCCTAAGGACGAATTTGGCTGCTATGTCCTTCCGTTGGGCTCCGACCAGCCACCAAGGTACATCGGGTGTCCGGAGAGACAAGTGATCTCAGCGCTCTTCAATGTACCTGTCTGGGCGCGTCATAGTCTGCATTGGTACCCAATGCCTTATCTGAAATATGAGACTGAAAGCGCCCAGCTCCAGGATCAGGCTGAACAGAAACTGGTAATAGTTTTCGACACCATAGCTGAGTCGTTTCGGCAGATGCGTCCTCCATTTGCTTCCACCTACTCATCTATCTTTGAGGTGGATGGCATGCTTGGCATCTATAGCTCTAACAGGGCTAAGGAAATTGTTGATATATGGGTGCTGCACAACTATGAAAGTGAGATTTGGGACTTAAAGTACCGGGTTGAATTGCCGCTAACACAAATCAGGAGGAAGCTTCAAGCCCGTGATGGAGATGGTGATGGCAATTGGTATGTGATCGTTGCTTCGGGTGATGGTGATGTGCTCTTGCTAGTCAGGTTTGCTCATTGGCTGTTTTACGTTGACACTGATGGCAAACTGGTTGCTAGCTTCCAAGACATCAATTTCTATAAATATGGGCTCAAACAGACTCTTGTTCCTCATGATTTCTTCACGACACGAGAAGGTTTTGCTGCGGACGCTTCACCATTCATCTGATGGCTGTTGAGTGAGGTGGTGCCTCAAGGGCCTAGTTTTCGTAACCCTCATAAGTTGCATGTCAGACTTGTCTTGTGCCTGAATGAGAACAACATCGCTGTTTGTCTGAGTACATGTGCATTCCTACTATACATCTTCAGGTAAGGAAAAATATGCTCAACCTTTTAGAAGCTTGCGTTTGTGAACAAAACGATACGCTGATGATGCAATATATATATATATATTATTTTCTTCATTTGTTCTTTGTTGGATTTCGGGGTAACTGCAAAAAAGTCAGCTAGATGAGTCTGGTAGATTCAGATGTTTACATATTATTTTTGTTATGAAACAAAGTTGTTTAGAACTCAATCTCTACAGCTCAAAATGTCCTTGTAATGCGGCAACAGTAAGCTTGCAGAGAACTGTAGTTGAAAGTAAGATGAACGATTCTGTTCCCTGTGGGCTTTGCTTCTGCAGAGAACAGTAGTTTAAAGCAACATTAAGCATGCAGAGAACAGAGTTTTGCTTCTATGATTGAACCTTTGAATATGATGTGCCTCATGTTCCCTGTGGGCTTTGCTGCTTTTACAATTATGTTCTAAGCAAGAAACTGATGATCTATGGAACTGATGTATGCTGCAGCCAGACTTAGAGAAGGTGTTACTACAGAAACACAATTTTTGTAATGCTCCTGGGCGTCGATGCTTCACCCGTAGCTAGATGGGTCAATACCATTTTGCTCTGCTTTTGAAGTACTTTTCAATTGATCCGCTTCATGTCTCTATTTTCTTGGATGAGTACTTGCTTTATTCTATTCCCTCTGTCTCATAATATAAAAGTGTTTTTTACACTAGTGCAGTGTCGAAAACGCTCTTATATTATGGGACAGAGGGAGTATTTATTATCTACTGGTCTTCTTTGTCAAAAACGCTCTTATAAGAGTGTTTTTCTTGGACGCTTTATTCTATTTATCTAGTGGTCTTCTCAGTACTTGTTATTTATCTAGGGGTCTTCCTAATAGTCTGTTCTTTTTAATGTATTTCCTGTTTGTACCTTTTGTTTTAGCTGATTAAATTCAATGCCTCCATATTGTATCATAATGCATTTCTGGGAGCTGAATGCGTTGGGGCCATTTTACATGTGTCTGTCATGATAGGTTGGAACAGTTTTATTTCTTGCAGGATTTGGACATGTTTAACTCTAACAAATGATTCCAAATCTTCTTGATTAATTGAATAAATAATGGGAATTTAGGGTAGGTTCCAATGCCATATTCTGGCCCTTTGCCCAGGAGCTAATAATTCAGATAAATGATGGAGATGGTTAGGTAGGACTTGTGGAAACTAAGCTCACCACTATAGCGAGAGTTGGACATGGTTGTGATAGTATTCTTCTAGAAAAGACTGGTACCACAACCTGAAAAACTATGAACATCTTATTACATTTTTCTGTTGCGCAGTTTGCAAATATCGTCTCTTGTTATTTCAGTTTAGCCGTTAACCAATTTGGATAAAAAGGCTTCATGGGATGCTTGTAGCACAATTGTTCTTAATAAATCCAGCTGTGCTTTGTTGCATTTGCTTCAGTCAACTGTAATTGCCCCTGAAAAATTGATGTCTCCTAGAACTGTGCTGATGTGGAGGGCATGTGCGGGTCGCTGTGGGGCACGCACAGAGGCGTATACCCGCCTTCGACAAGGTCACCTTGCTGCACGGACGAAAACCTATGCTAGCTATCTCAATTATTCAGCTATATTCTTGTTGGTCGGCTTGTCAAATCCTGAGTAGTATATCAAGCTTAATTATATGTATACATGTCGAGATTGGTCTATCTGCGACTTACTCTTTGAACACCTCTAAGTTGCATGGGAAAGTTGCCTGACTGACTTGCTCTGTGCCTGATTAAGAACTAAGTTGTTCACCAGTAGCTATTTGTCTGATTTACATTTACAACTATGTTATATATCTTCAGGTAAGGGAAATATTTGCAACTTTTTAGAAGAAGCTTCTGTTTGTAACAAACAGAAGATAAATGGGAAAAACTGTACGCTAGTCCTGCACCTTACGTTTGCAATTTGTTTGTTGTTGGATTTCGTTGTTGCTTCAGAAAAATCAGCTAGATGGGTCTGCTAGATTCATATGTCCACATACTATTTTTGCTATGAAACAAAGTGGTTTAGAACTCAATCTCTAGTGCTCAAAATGTCCATGTAGTGCTGCAATAGTTTGCAGAGAACAGTAGTTGAAATGGAAGTAAGATAGACCAGTGGGTGAGCCATTGAACAGAAAGTACATGCACAACTACCAGTTCTCACTCTACCTCTATAAATTCTTCTTCACCACAAACTGCTGCACCAAGTCTCGGTTTGTTCTTTCTGATTGACTTGTGAAGCTCTAGTTTACCATTCAGCACCAGTTTAGCTGCTTTTTCAATTTAGTAGGAGCAATTCAGGGTAGGATGGATCCACATGGGCCTGGAGGACCGGGTTGGGGTGGCCCTGCAGGATGGGGCCCTGGAGGGTGGGGTCCGGTTCCACCTGGTGGGTTTCCTGGTGGCCCTGGTTCTTGGGGGCCTGGGCTCGGTGGATTCTTCGGATCCTGGTAAGTTGAATTCTCAGCTAACTGATGGAGATCATCAAGACATTCAGTTACATACCAAATTTTTTTTCCTTCTAAAAAATCAGACTATTCACGCTAAAGACGATTAGTGTGGTTTCGGGATCAAGTGTAATTTTTTTAGCACCATCACAAGCTTCAATTCCAAGTCATGATGCATGTATACTATTAGTACTTTGATTTTGCACCTCTGAACCCCTTTTGTTTTATATATAAATAAACCTGCAACTCTGAGCAAGTGTTTCTTCTGCAGCTTCTATATCCTGTGCTGCTGCTGCCTGCTCCAAGATTGCTGCGGCCCTCTCTTCGGACCACCCCCTTTCTGATAGCCTGCGGAGCTGCTGGCTACAAGAAACAACTCATTCGACCACAATTCCTAGACTAAATATGCGCAAAGAACCCACTTGCGTGAAGTTGGAAGTTCCCCTTGCTGCTATGTAAACAATACTGAAAATCATATCGTCTTGGTAGAATGTATCCTGGAGTGGAGACCACTGTTTCAATCTTACATAATTTACCTGGTGCTAGTGCTATTTCAGAATGCCATGCAAACACTACTGAAAATCATGTGGTCATGTCTCTCTCCTGGAGATCATTGTTTCTCTCTTACACAGTTAGGCTCTCTCTAGCTACCTTGTTGTACATTTGCTGATGCGTTTCACAGCCTAGCTCTCTCCACGTTAGAGCTCTTTTATGGTACCCAGTAGTGAATATAGACCATCCATCCGCGAAATCCAACGGCCATGACTGTTCTATACCGCTGCAATCAGGCCAACCGGATGGCGGGCAGTATAGGTAACTTCGGACCTGTTCCGATCCACTCCACTCCACTCCACGACTCCGCTCCGGGAGTGGGCGGAGCAGCGCCGAACGCAACAACTCTAGGGAGTCGAAGGAGTGGAGCGGAGCGGCTCGTAGTTGAATCTCGCGGAGTCGCAAAAAGCTAGCTCCCCACGACCCCCCCAACTTACCGGTTCGATCCAAACTTCTCCTTCGTTGATGCATTTCATAGGCAGAGAAGTGCACCGAATACTAGTGTTCTCTCTTGGTAGGTGCCGAGACAGCATGATGCCATCCTTAGGTGGTCTAAGCTTAGGCAGGGGCCAAGCTTAGACTGAGACCCCGGCCTACAGGGTTACGGCTCAATTCTTGGGGAGCATGATCTAACCGAATTGGTGTATTTAAGCTAAACATATATGGTTGTGATTTTGTATTGATCACGATCTGATCTGTAGAGATTGATATGGTGTGATTCTGTAATCAAATATAATCTTGGCAATTAAGTATCGCGCATATATAAATACAAGGCAAGCTTACAACAAAAACAATGCAGCTCGCTTGGTAATTGCTGAACTTTTGCATGCTGACATGCGCCACACACACTAGATGTCATGGTAGTCTCTGTTGTAGGGTGCCAAGCTTTAAGTCCTTGTCCAACGCGTCGAGGCATCGAGCTCTCTCCGGTTCCAAGCTCTTGCCAAATCTGTTGCTCCGAAGGTTAGGTCATCTGTCCAAAAGTGTTGGTGAGTCATTCCTTACGTAAAATGAATTCCTTCGTTCACCTTCTCTTGGGTCTGAGTGCGTCTGATGCATGTCAATGTGCAAAAGTTCATAAATTGCCTTCTCGTGATTCCACTGATGTACCTCGCCATTGAATACTTGCATAGTCGCATAGATCACCCAGAGCCAATCTGACTTTGTTCGTCGTGGAGGGGAAGTCGTGAAGACTAAGGTCCAATCGGACCAACACAAAAGAAGAGAAGTGGACATTGGAGCAAGTCTCACAGATCGAAGCAGCCACAAAGCATCAATGGTGCCGCTACCGAGGCCACATGAATCTGCTGACCACGAGGAGTGCTCGATGACCACCCTCACGAATCCCTAGACTAGACTGCATTGGGCGTCGTCGAGATGGAGCTGGGATGAAGAGACCCTTATCCCAGCGGACGAAGCCGCCACCATCGAAGCCTCGCCAGGGGAAACCTACGCCTACCTACTGTACTCACGCGAGACGAAGTCGCAGGG